AGCAGCATTAGTAGTAACGGTAAAGCTAAGCTGAAGCTAAGCTAAAGCTAAGCTACAGCTAAGCTGAAGTTAAGTTACAGCTAAACTAAAGCTAAGCTAAGCTAAGCTAAAGCCAAGCTGAAGCTAAAGCTAAGCTAAAGCTCAGCTGAAGCTAAGCTAACGTTGAGCTACAGCTAAGCAAAAACGAAAGCTAAATCGAAAGCTAATGCTGATCCTATAGCGAAAGCAACATCAGAAGCTGAAACTAAAGCTTATGCTTATGCTAAAGCTAATGCTAAAGCTAAAGCTAAAGCCAGGGGGCGTATAACTGGGGGAACCGCGGGGCGGATACCGGGGGAACCGCCCGGGGCGGGCCCCACTGCCCGGCCCTTTTAAGCCTCCGAGCAAGAACCCTTCTAGGCAGAGCCCAGGTAAGGAAACATAGAAATGTAAGGCTTGGCGACGTTTCGAAGATACCTGATTGGGCGACGGGCCAATCCAATGCTGAATGTATCGGTCTTGATGTACTGTGCCGATGGCTGTGCTGTACTACACCGTGCTGAACAGCGATGTGCCATGCCGCGATTGTGCTCTATATATAGCGCTGTGGATCGAATCCTCCTTGGCATCCGAGTCCTAACCGAATAGATGTGGATCTTAAGCTCGAGCTGCTTGAGCAGATGGTAGCTGCCCCAAAACTAATCGACAGGGGGACACGCCAGGAGGACGCGCCGCGGAACGTCCCAAGGGACGCGCCTGGCGACGTGCCAGGGGACGTGCCATGGGCACGCACCGCGGGACGTGCCAAGGGGACGCGCTACGGAACGTGCCGCCAATGGACGTGCCGCGGGACGTGCCAGGGGACGCGCCGCGCGACGTGCCAGGTGGACTCGCCACGGAACGCGCCAAGGAACGTGCCAATGTGCAATGTTGAGTGTATCGATCTTGATGTACCGTGCCGACGGCTGTGTTGTGTTGGGCCGTGCTGAACTGCGATGTGCCATGCCGCGACCGTGCTTTATATAGCGTTGTGGATCGAGTCCTCCCTGGCTTCCGAGTCCTGACCGAACTTATGTGGATCTTAAGCTCGAGCTGATTGAGCAGATGGTAGCTGCCCCAGAACTAATCGACAGGGGGACACGCCAGGAGGACGCGCAGCGTCCCAAGGGACGCGCCTGGCGACGTGCCAGGGGACGTGCCATGGGCACGCACCGCGGGACGTGCCAAGGGGACGCGCTACGGAACGTGCCAATGGACGTGCCAGGGGGACTCGCCACGGGATTTTTCGCGGAACGTGCCAAGCAACATGCCAGGTTGCAGTGCTAAGGTTATCGATATTGATGTTCCGTGCCGAGGGTTGTGCTGTGCTTGGGCGACTTGGACACGTGAAAACAAGCGTATCGCTCGAGACATTCTCACCCCATCCTCATGCTAGGCATCCGCCTGGGCAACCTGGACACGTGCAAACAAACGTCTCGATCGAGACTTCTTCGACACATCCTCATGCCAGACATCCGCCTGGGCGACCTGGACACGTGAAAACAAGCCTCTGGTTCGAGACATCCTCAACAAGTCGTCATGCTAGACATCTGTCTGGGCCACCCAAAGGCGTGAAACCAAGCGTTTCGCTCGAGACATCCTCAAGACCTGGGCACGTGAAAACAAGCAATCCATTTGAGAGATCCTCAGAATCCAGGTCCCCAGGAGAGGACAATCTATAACACAAAACAAGCGTATCGCTCGAGACATCCTCAACAAATTCTGGAAATCAAAAAAAACGTTTCGCTCGAGACATCCTCAAATTTTAATTCGCCGGCCCTTCGCAACCTCGTGATTTATTGCAAAAGAAGTTTGCCGGCCCATCTCCGGAGGTAAACCTCTAAAGGAGAAGCTTGGGCCCTTTTCCGGGAAAGTAGAGTGGGGATTATTTTTGAGTTATGTTTTGATAATTGAAATATGTTCGACCATTTTGGAATATTACCTAACAGTTTTTGCTGATAGGTTTCTAGTGGTTTCAAAAGAGAACACTTTGACGCCCCAGGGGGGTCTCGTCAGCCCCAGGAATCCTTAGGAATCCGGTGGAATCTTTAGGAATCCTTGCGAATCCATTCCCAGAACACCAGTACCAGGCCACACTTTGAATGCCCGGAGCCAACTGTAGGCCACTTCGTGATCTTCGCGTTCCCAGAACACCACTCCCAGGCCACATTTTGCGTGCCCGGAGCCAACTGTAGGCCACTTCGTGTTCTTCGTCTTCCCAGAACACGATTCCCAGGCCACATTTTGAATGCCCAGAGCCAACTGTAGGCCACTTCGTGTTCTTCGTGTTCCCAGAACACGACTCCCAGGCCACATTTTGAATACCCGGAACCAACTGTAGGCCATTTCGTGTTCTTCGTGTTTCCAGAACACAACTCCTATACCATATTTTGATTGCCCGGAGCCAGCTGTGGGCCACTTCGTGATCTTCGTGTTCCCAGAACACCAGTCCTGTGTCATATTTTGAATGCCCGAGCTGAGGCAGGCTGAGGCCGAGGCAGGCTGAGGCCGAAGCAGGCTGAGGCTGAGGCTGAGGCACGCCGAGGCAGGCTGAGGCTGAGGCTGAGGCAGGCTGATGCTGAGGCAGGCTGAGGCTGCGGCTGAGGCAGGCTGAGGCTGAGGCTGAGGCAGGCTGAGGCTGAGGCAGGCTGAGACTGAGGCCGAGGCAGGCTGAGGCTGATGCTGAGGCTGATGCAGGCTGAGGCTGAGAGGCTGACGCTGAGGCTGAGGCAGGCTGAGGCTGAGGCCGAGGCAGGCTGAGGCTGAGGCTGAGGCAAACCGAGGCAGGCTGAGGCTGAGGCTGTGGCTGTCGCTGAGGCAAGCTGCGGCTGAGGCAGGCTGAGGCTGAGGCTGATGCAGGCTGAGGCTGAGGCAGGCTGAGGCTGAGGCTGATGCAGGGTGAGGCTGAGGCTGAGGCTGAGGCCGAGGCAGGCCGAGGCTGAGGCCGAGGCAAGCCGAGGCAGGCTGAGGCTGAGGCAGGCTGAGGCTGAGGCAGGCTGAGGCTGAGACAGGCTGAGGCTGAGGCTGAGGCAGGCTGATGCTGAGGCAGGCTGAGGCTGCGTCCGAGGCAGGCGAATCCTTCGGAATCCTTCGGATTTCCCAGGAATCCTTCGGAACTTAGGAATCCCTAGGAATCAGGCTTCCTAAGGATTCCCACGATTTCCTGAGGATTCCTATGGATTCCTAAGGATGCCTAAGGGTGCCTTAGGAAACCCTAGGAATTCTTAGGATTCCATTGGATCCTAAGGCCGTTGCCACTGCGACTGTCATTGCGAATGCGACTGCGACTGCGAGAACAGCAGAATTCTACAACTTTATTCTCACCTGAATATTAAGGGGAATGCTTCCAGATATGCTTACACACATCGCTGTTCGGTTGCTTTGTCGGGATATTTCTTTCTGTAGTTCGTCGAACATCCCTTTGTAGGGGGACACGCCCGACTTAAGCCAAGCAAGCCAGCATGGGAAAGCAGCGAGATGCGGCCCGAGCCCAGACAGAGTGAGGGGCAGACTCCCCGTGCTGTCCCGCGCCACCCTGTCCTACCTCGCGCGCGGCGCCGCAGCTGCCTCGGGGCCTCCAGCAAGGGCAAGGGCGGGTCCTCCAGCACCTCGGCTGCCCGTGCCGATGCGAGCGGTGCCGCAGCTCCCCACAATCAACTCGCTTCTGGGCGGCCTGGAGGAGGACGGGGCAGAACGAGGGCGAGCGAGGGGAGGACGAGGAGAGCAATCGCAGGGAGGAGGCGGTCGGAATATGTATCCGAACGCACCCGCGGGAGAGGTCTGGTGAGCAGCGGGATCGGCATCCCCTCGTGTCCTCTCGGGACGCGACCGTCGCGTCCCGACAGGACACGAGACGATAATGATGGTGATGATGATGATGATGATGTTGATGCTGATGCTGATGCTGATGCTGATGCTGCTGATGATGATGATGATGATGATGCTGGTGATGTTGATGTTGATGATGATGCTGCTGATGATGATGGTATGAGGATGATGATGATATGATGATGATATGATGATGATATGATGATGATGATGATGATGAGGATGAGGATGAGGATGAGGATGATGATGATGATGATGATGATGATGATGATGATGATTATGATTATGATTATGAAGATGATATGATGATGATGATGATGATGATGATGATGATGATGATGATGAGGATGAGGGGGAGGAGGAGGAGGAGGAGGAGGAGGGAGGAGGAGGAGGAGAGAGTGACGGCGGCGCGCCGCCCTGCCCACCCCAACCCGGGTTCGGGGAGGAGGGGCAGAACACCGCGGGCTGCCGGCGGGGTGGCCCGCTGCGGGCACCGTGCAGGACTGCACGAGCACGCCGGTCAGCGGGGGGGCGACAAAGGCGGCGACGAAGCGACACCACGAAGGGTTGCGTCAGCACCGCGGCCACGGGAGGAGTTTGAGAAGAAGGAGGAGGAGGAGGAGGAGGAGGAGCAGGAGCAGGAGAAGGAGCAGGAGCAGGAGGACGAGGAGGAGGAAGAGGAGGAGAAGGAGGAACACGACGGCGACGCTGATCAGAAGACGAACCGGAGATGGAGGAGGACTGGGAGGAGGAGGAGGAGGAGGCGGAGGAGGAGGAGGAGGAAACGGAGGAAACGGAGGCGTAGGAGGAGGGGGAGGAGGAGGAGGTGGAGCATGAAGGGTTGGAGGAGGAGAATGGAACGGAAGAGCAAACAGGAGGGGATGGAAGAGGAGGCCGCACGAGAAAGGGGGACGGCCGGGAGGAACAGGGGGAGAGGGAGAGGCCGACGGGGGAGAGGGGAGGCAGATGCTGGCCCCAGGTGTTCCAGCTGGTTGGCGGCAACACGCAGCTGATGTGGCTGACCGCGCACATCATGGCGGACAGGACGCATTGGATCGGCCGCCCCATCAGCGAGTGGGTGAGCGCAGGCTGGCAGCCCGTCCCTCCGCCTCCAGGTGAGGGAGGTCGCCGTAGAGGAGGCGGGTCCCGAGAGAAGAGGGGCCTGAGGTATTTTTGTTGCCGTTCTTGGCCAGCCATGGCGTCCACTAGCCCCGGGGATGTCCGAATTCGACCCAGGATGAATCAGTATAGTTGGTCCTGGGGGAAGGCCCCAGGGTCCAGGACTCGTTTTTTTTCACGCCGGGGAGTCTGACAGTGAGGAGCAGTCGCAGGGTACGAAGGTAACCAAGAGGGTTTTCCATTTGACTCGAATCTTCTTTTCCTAGGGCACCCCTCCTCCGGTGCTCTGACTCTGGCTCTGCGATCCTATTTCTCTCTTCCCTGCTCGGTATCCCTTCTCCCTCCCGTCCGTCCCTCCCTCCCTCCCTCCCCCATGAACCCCCTACATCCCCATTCCCTCGCTCCCACCATCTCCCCCACCCCCCAGAATCCCACTCATCCTCTCTCCCCATCTCCTCGCCGGTACCCCCCCAACCCTCTCCTCCCCGGGCATTCCTCCTGCTTCGTGCTGGTTCTCTTCTCCCTCCCTGCCATTCCTGCTTTGCTCTCCTGCCGTCTTCGTCACGCGCGGAGACGCGCGAAGAGGAGGAGGAGGAGGAGGAGGAGGAAGAGGAGGAAGCGGAGGAGGAGGGCAAGCTAGGTGCGCTCGCGTCATATCTGACGTCCTACCCCTCCCTCCCATCCCTTACCATGGCGTAGATCTCCTCTCTATTCGCACAGTTCGATGACGTAGCATGGCATAGCATTACATGGCATAGCATGGTGTTAAAATTCAACGCGTAGCCTGACATAGCATGGCGTGGCGACGCCCAAAAATTGAGGCCTTCTGCGGCCCAGAAAGATTCAATAAATCAACACTGAATGTGGAATCGCTTCCGATTGTTTTTCTTTCCAGGGACCATTTTTTAGATTTTGGGGCCTATTTGGAGGGACCGGAAACCATGCCGTGGCATGCCGCTGGAAATGATGACGTCAGCGCTGCAGCGGGAGCACGATTCGGACCGAGCGGAAGCGCGGAAATGAGGCCAGCTATGCAGCGGGAGCACGATTCGGAACGAGCGGTAGCCCGAACATGAGGCCAGCGTTGCAGCGAGAGCAACATTTTGAAAAAAAACAACAACAACAACAACAACAACAACAACAACAACAACAACAACAACAACAACAACAACAAAACAAGCGCGGAAGCGCGGAAATGAGGACGCGTAGCTTGACATAGCATGGCGTGGCGACGCCCCAAGTGGGGGGGGGCTTCTGCGGCCAAAAGAATCAACGAATCGACACCGAATACGGAATCACTTCCGATGGTTTTTTTCGGGGAGGGGATATGTTCTACATGTTCAGGCCATTGGGAAGGACCGAGAACACCATGCCGTGGCATGTCGCTGGAAGTAATGACGCCAGCGCTGCAGCGGGAGCACGATTCGGAACGAGCGGTAGCCCGAAAATGAGGCTAGCGCTCCAGCGAGAGCACCATATTGAACAAAGACCCAAGCGCGGAAGCACGGAAATGAGGACTCGTAGCTTGACATAGCATGGCGTGGCGACGCCCCAAAGTGGGGGGGGGACTTCTGCGGCCCAAAGAATCAGCGAATCGACACCGAATACGGAATCACTTCCGATTGTTTTTTCCGGGGACCATTTTCTAGATTTTGGGGCCTATTTGGAGGGACCGAGAACACCATGCCGTGGCATGCCGCTGGAAATGATGACGCCAGCGCTGCAGCGGGAGCACGATTCGGACCGAGCGGGAGCGCGGAAACGTGGCCAGCGCTGCAGCGGGAGCACGATTTGGAACGAGCGGTAGGCCGAAAATAAGGTTAGCGCTCCAGCGAGAGCAGCATTGTAAAAAAACAAAGCGAAAACCCGTTTCCCGAGACTCCTGTGTGTAAGAATCCGCTACGCGGAGGGGGGCCGGCCATTTTCGCCATTTCCCGGACGCCGTTAGGGAAGGGAGGAGAGTAGTATGAATATTGTTTAATTGTGGATGGGGAGGAGGAGGAGGAGAAGGGGAAGGAGGAGGAGGAGGAGCCCCTCTCCCCTCCCTCCCCGTGTCTGGTCTTTCGTGTCCCTCCTCCCTCCTCCCGTCCATCTTGCCCACCCGCATCCCCCTCTGTGTGTCTGTGTGTGTGTGTCTGTGTGTGTGTCTGTGTGTGTCTCTGTGTGACTCTCTGTGTCTCTGTGTGTCTCTGTGTGTCTCTGTGTGTCTCTGTGTGTCTCTGTGTGTCTCTGTGTGTCATTGTGTGTCTCTGTGTGTCTCTGTGTGTCTCTGTGTGTCACTGTGTGTCTCGTGTGTCTCTGTGTGTCTCTGTGTGTCTCTGTGTGTCTCTGTGTGTCTCTGTGTGTCTCTGTGTGTCTCCGTGTGTCTCTGTGTATCTCTGTGACTCTGTGTCTCTGTGTCTCTGTATCTCTGTGTCTCTGTGTCTCTGTGTCTCTTTGTCTCTGTAGTCTCTGTGTCTCTGTGTCTCTGAGTGTCGCTCTGTGTCTCTGTGTGTCGCTGTGTGTCTCTGCGTGTCTCTGTGTCTCTGTGTCTCTGTGTCTCTGTGTCTCTGTGTGTCTGTGTGTCTCTGTGTGTCTCTGTGTGACTCTGTGTGACTCTGTGTCTCTGTGTCTCTGTGTCTCTGTGTCTCTATGTCTATGTGTCTCTGTGTCTCTGTGTCTCTGTGTTTCTGTGGCTCTGTGGCTCTGTGGCTCTGTGTTTCTGTGTCTCTGTGTCTCTGTGTCTCTGTGTCTCTGTGTCTCTGTGTCTCTGTGTCTCTGTGTCTCTGTGTCTCTGTGGCTCTGTGTCTCTGTGTCTCTCTGTCTCCGTGTCTCTGTGTGTCTGTCTGTCTGTACGTCGGTGTGTCTGTGTGTCTGTGTCTCTGTGTGTCTGTGTCTCTGTGTGTCTGTGTGTCTGTGTGACTGTGTGTCTGTGTTTCTGTCTGTCTGTGTGTCTGTGTGTCCGTGTGTCTGTGTGTGTGTCTGTGCGTGTGTGTGTGCGTTGTGTGTGTTGTGTGTGCTATGTGTGGTGTGTGTGTTGTGTGTGTTGTGTACGTTGTGTGTGCTGTGTGTGTTGTGTGTGCTGTATGTGTTGTGTGTTGTGTGTGTTGTGTGTATGTGCGTGTTGTGTGTGGTGTGCGTTGTGTGTATGTGTTGTGTATGGTGTGTGGGTTGTGTGTGGTGTGTGTGGTGTGTGTGTGTTGTGTGTTGTGTGTGTGCGTGTGTCGTGTGGGTGCGTGTGCGTGTGTGTGTGTTGTGCGTGTTGTGTGTTGTGTGTGTGTTGATTGTGTTGTGTGTGTTGTGTGTTTGTTGTGTGTGTGGTGTGTGTGTGGTGTGTGTGTCTTGTGTGTTGTTGTGTTGTGTGTATTGTATGTGTGTGTGTGTGTGTTGTGTGAGTTGTGTGTGTGGTGTGTATGTCGTGTGTGGTGTGTGTGTGTGTGTGTGTGTGTGTGTGTGTGTGTGTGTGTGTGTGTTGTGTGTGTGTGTGTGGGGGGGGGGGGGGTGGGTGGTGTGGGGGGGGGGTGGGGTGCGGTGTGAGGTGTGGTGCGGGGTGTGGGGTGTGGGTGGTGTGGTGTGTTGGGTGTGTGTGGTGGTGTGGTGTGTAGTGTGTGGTGGGTGTGTGGTGTGGTGTGTGGTGTCGTGTTTGATGTGTGTGTGTGTGTGTGTGTGGTGTGTGTGTGTGTGTGGTGTGTGTGTGTGTGTGTGTGTGTGTGTGTGGTGTGTGTGTGGTGTATGTGGTGCGTGTGTGGTGTGTGTGGTGTGTGTGGCGTGTGTGGTGTGTGTGGTGTGTGTGGTGTGTGTGGTGTGTGTGGTGTGTTGGGTGTGTGTGGTGTGTGTGTGGTGCGTGTGGTGTGCGTGGTGTGTGTGTGTGCGTGTGCTGTGTGTGTTGTGTGTGTGTCGTGTGTGTTGTGTGTGTGTGTTGTGTGTGGTGTGTGTTGTGTGTGTTGGGTGTGTTGGGTGTGCTGTGTGTGTTGTGTATGGTACGCTGTGTGTGTGTTCTGTGTGGTGTGTGGTGTGTGTCGTGTGTGGTGTGTGTGTGTTGTGTATTGTGTGTTTTGTGTGTTGTGTGTTGTGTGTGTGTTTTGTGTGTTGTGTGTGTTGTGTGTGTTGTGTGTTGTGTGTGGGTTGTGTGTGTCGTGTGTTGTGTGTGTGTTGTGTGTGTTGTGCGTGTTGTGTGTGTTGTGTGTGTTGTGTGGTGTGTTGTGTGGTGTGTTGTGTAGTGTGTTGTGTGCTGTGTTGTGTAATGTGGTTTGTGGTGTGTTGTGTGTGTTGTGTCTTGTGTGTTGTGTGTGTTGTGCGTGATGTGTGTATGCGTGTGTGCGTGTGTGCATGTGTGCGTGTGTGCGTAGGTGCGTGGGTGCGTGTGCGCGTGTGTGCGTGTCTGCGTGTGTGCGTGTGTGCGTGTGTGCGTGCGTGTGTGTGCGTGTGCGTGTGTGCGTGTGTGCGTGTGTGGCTGTGTGCGTGTGTGCGTGTGTGCGTGTGTGCGTGTGTGCGTGTGTGCGTGTGTGCGTGTGTGGTTGTGTGCGTGTGTGCGTGTGTGCGTGTGTGCGTGCGCGTGTGTGCGCGTGCGTGCGCGCGTGCGTGTGCGCGTGCGCGTGCGCGTGCGCGTGCGCGTGCGCGTGCGCGTGCGCGTGCGCGTGCGCGTGCGCGCGTGCGCGTGCGCGTGCGCGTGCGTGTGCGTGTGCGTGCGCGTGTGCGTTTGTGTGCGTGTGCGTGTGCGTGCGCGTGCGTGTGCGCGTGCGTGCGCGTGCGCGTGCGCGTGCGCGTGCGCGTGCGCGTGCGCGTGTGTCTGCGCGTGCGCGTGCGCGTGCGCGTGCGCGTGCGCCTGCGCGTGCGCGTGCGCGTGCGCGTGCGCCTGCGCGTGTGCGTGCGCGTGCGCGTGCGCGTGCGTGTGCGCGTGTGCGTGTGCGTGTGCGTGTGCGAGTGCGCGTGTCGCGTGCGCGTGCGCGTGCGCGTGCGCGTGCGGGTGCGCGTGCGCGTGCGCGTGTGCGCGTGCGCGTGTGCGCGTGCGCGTGTGCGTGCGTGTGCGTGTGCGCGTGTGCGTGCGTAGGCGTGTGCGTGTGCGTGTGCGCGTGCCTGCGCGTGTGTGCGTTCGTGTGCGTGTGCGTAAGTGTGCGTGTGCGTGTGCGTGTGCGTGTGCGTGTGCGTGTGCGTGTGCGTGTGCGTGTGCGTGTGCGTGTGCGTGTGCGTGTTCGCGTGCGTGTGCGTGTGCGTGTGCGTGTGCGTGTGCGTGTGCGTTTGCGTGCGTGTGCGTGTGTGTATGTGTATGTGCGCTCGCCTGCGTGTATGTTTGTAGGTGTGTGTGTGAGAGTTTGTGTGTGTGTGTTTGTGTTGGTGTGTGTGTATTGTGTGTATGTGCGTGCGTGTCTGCGTTCGTGCGTGCGTGCGTGTGTGCGTGCGTTTGTGTGTGCGGGTGTGTCTGTTGTTGTGTATCTGTCTGCGTTTATGTGTGCGTAAGACTGTGTATGTGTGTGTGTGTGTTTGTGTTGTGTGTGGGTGTGTAGGTGTGTGGTTGTCTGTCTGTGTGCGTGTGTGTGCGTGTGTGTGTGTGTTTGTGTATATGTCTGGGTGCGCGGGTGTGCGTGTGTTTGTGTGTTTATGTATGTGCCTGGGTGCGTGTGCGTGTGTGTGTGTGTGTGTTTGCGTTTGTGTGTTTGTGTTTGGTTGTGTGTGTGTGTTTGTGTGTACGTGTGCGTGTGTGTGTGCGCGTGTGTGTGCGTGTGTGTGTGTGTACGTGCGTGTATATGTGTGGGTGCTTGTGCGCGTGTGTGTGTGTGTGTCTGTGTGTCTGTGTCTGTGTGTCTGTGGTTTTGCTTGTACGTGTGTGCGTGTGTGCGTGTGTGTGTGGTTGTTTGTGTGTGTGTGTTTGTTTGCGCGTGTGTGTGTGTGTGCGTGTGTGTGAGTATGTGTTCGTGTGTGTGTGTTCTTGCATGTGCGTGTGCGTGTGCGTGTTTCTGTGCGGTTGTGTGTGTGCGTGTGTGTGTGTGTGTGCGTCAGTGCCTGTCCGAGACGCCAAGATACCAAGGTGCAGAGAGCCAGGAAGGGGCAGGCCCGACGCCCCCCCCGCGAGAGGGGCCTGGCGGACTCTCCTCCCCCTCCGCCCAGCCATCCTCTCCACTCCCCCCGCCCCCTCCCCTCCCCCCCCTTGCCCCCGCCCCCCTCCCCTCCCCTCTCGCCCCCCTGCCCCCCCCTCCCCCCTCCCCTCTCGCCCCCTCCCCTCCCCTCCCCCCCCCCCTTGCTCCCCCCCACCCCCCACTTCCCAGTTAGCTTCGCATCGCAAAACAATCACGACGGACGGGCTGTGTTCCACCGCGCTTCTCGGTCCCTGCGGGGCCCTCCTCGGGCTCCCGGGGCCGCTCGGAGCTGGCTCGGGGGACGAGGAGCCCGTAGTCCCGAAGAGGGGGCTTCCAGACCTCGACGGGGCTGCGCGGCGGGCGAGCCCGGCGTCGGACGTGCGGGTCTCACCTCTCCCGCTCCATGGGGCGACCTTCGGCGAATCTCCCGCTCCATCCCTCCTCTCCCCCTCCTCCTCCCCCTCCTCCTCCTCCTCCTCCTCCTCCTCCTCCTCCTCCTCCTCCTCATCCTCCTCCTCGTCCTCCTTGTCCTCCTCGCTCCACCATCCCCCTTGTGCAGCCCGAGGCATGGCGCTGCTCACCCACTGCGCCCTCGCGGTGGTGGAGCGGTGGGCAGAGACGAGGGAGATGTTCGCAAAGATCATGCCGTGGGCGGCCAAGATGGGTGGCTACCCGCCATGAGCAGGAGGAGGATGAGGAGGAAGAGATTGAGGACGGCAATTGAGGATGATGGTGAAGAGCAGAGGGAGGATGATAATAAGGGGGTGGCGATGAGACGCGAATCATGGCTTCAGATGTCCCTCACCCTGTCTTCTCCTCCCCTCGCCATCCTCCACCACCATTCCGGTACATCCTCCTCCGCCTCCTCTTCGTCTCCCGTATCGTCTTCAGCCTTGATGTTCACCGTCTCATCATCACCCATCCTTCCTCCTTCGCATCGTGGTCCCCGTCCTCATCGCCTTAGCAATCACCATACATCATAGTCAGTTCCCCCCTCTTCTCCCTCCCCCTCCTCCCTCCCGTGTTCCTCCTTTTCCTTCCTCAAAGTATCATCCTCCTTCTCCTCCTCCTGCGCCACCTCGTCCTCCTGTTCCTCTTTGTTATCCCTCGTCATCGCCCCTTCGTATGCCTACACTCCTTCCCCGTTCTCGCCTTCACCCCACCTCCTTCTACTGCCGCTCCCGCCTGGTCACATTGGTCTTCCTCGTCCGCCTTCTCGTCTTCTCTCCTGCGCCCCCCTTCTCGCTGGGCCCAGTGATCCCATTCTCCTTTCCACCTCCTCCTACCTCACCTCCCATTGTCTCCCCTTTCTCCCCATCATCCCACCTCGCCCCTCCGCTCTCTCGCACGGAGGGACCGCGGAAGTGGAGGGGGGGAATTGAGGAGGAGGGAGGCGGGAGAATGGGGAGGCGTATGAGAGAGAAACTTGCGGTGGTGCCGTTGGACAGAGATGCTTCCCAGGGGGCGGCGGGCCCCTGGGACGCTCGTACCCATCATCGGCGCCAGCTGCGAAAGCGCTTGGATCGATCCCGGCGCCCAGGCTGAGAGCTCCGCAGTGGAGACGGTCACTGGAGCGTGTTGCTTGCTTGCTTGGGGCAGAATGGGCATTGTAGCAGCACCCGGCTCCCCCTCCCCCCCCGATAACGTAACGCCCCTCCCCCCCAGTGCGCTCCGGGCACTCCCGCCGTGCGCACGGCGGGGGGAGGCGTTACAGCATAGCCCCCCTGGTCCCCCCCCCCCCCATAATGCCCAGTATCGCCAAAAATAAAGAAACGCGCTCCTGTCCCCCAGCCCCTGCCCATCTTGGATAGGGCCCTCCTGCTGGTCTCAAGGCGAGCGCGGTCCGTCAGGCCGGGCGGCGGGGGCCGTCTGTCCATGCAGCAGCTGCTGCCTGCCCCGGGCAACACCTGCCCCTCCTGAGGCACCGTCCCCACGGGCGCAGGGGGTGGGCCAATCGGGTACCCACGGGGGACTCCCAGATCGGCCGCGGTGGTCGGGCGCCTCCTGCGAGACCCAGCCCCTGACCTGCGACGCCTTGATTTTCTCAATACGGGGCCCCTCGAAGTCCCGACCCTTTCCCCAGGGCCTGCTTTTCATCCTGCGTCGTTTTTGACGGTCCCGAGGGCCGGCGAGGGCCCCCAGGGGCCGCAAACGGCCAAAAATGTGTGTCCTGATTTTGTTCGACGCGATCATGTTTGGGGCACCTCCCCACGTCGAGTGGCTCACCGGCCCCGGTGCGCCACCGTCACACATCGTCCTCTGCGCAGCCGTTTTCGCTGGGGCTCTGCAGCTGGGCGTCTTGGGGGTCGGCGCCTGGATCCAGAGCCGAGGGGAGCCTGGATCGCCCATGCCGGCCCCCGCCGAGGACGCGGAGTCCCTGCTGTCCGCCAAGGCAGGGCTGGTTTCGATCCCATCGATAAAGTTGGGCCGCTGAAGAGGGGGAACGCTTCTCGTTAGGGGAGGGGCTCGGTGTTCCTTGATTGCTTTGCAGCTTGGCTTCGGTGTTCCGTGAGGGGTCCCATGGGGAATCGAAGTTTCACTTGGTGGAAAAAGTGGCCTCGTTCCTTATTTCGGGTTCCTTCTGACAGTGTTTCGACTATCGACTCCCGCAGGCTCGATCCGACTCTGCTCCGGTGCTCGCACGGCGCTGCTGTGCATCCTGGCGCGGCCGGTGCGATTTACGTCCAGGGCTCATTTCGATTCCTCCGATTCCATTCGATTCGATTTCGATGGCTTCCGATTCGATTCGACTTCGGAGTCCGATTTGGGCTCTGATTTCTCAATGGAGGCCTACTAGCCTGCTGATTTCCGCCAGTCCGACTTTTCCCGACTCGGCTGCCGATTCCCCTCGATACGATGTACTTCGATTGCCGATCCGAATCATCGATTCGATTCTGGGCTCCCTTGCTCACGATTTGTTCACAACGTGGCTTCCTAGAGGTCTGGACCGCATACCCGGGGGCTTCGCATCATGAGCCATTTTTGGACGGCCCCAGAGCTTTTAGTGAGGGCCCCCAGGGGCCGAAAACCGCAAACGACGTTCCTTCGTTATGTTTTCGCGGTGCGATGATGTCAGGTTTCGGGCCGTGAACTCCAGCCTCCGGCGGCCGTTCGGGATGATCCCGGCACCCACAGAAGGTTCTCGCTGAGGCGCAGTTGTTGGAAAGCATCCCGAGGTTGGAGAGCTTCCGGGAGCCCACGAGAGCGCCTGAACATCTGGAACCTCGAAAGACCGACGCGAGGACGCGATGTTTCCACGCCGCGAGGATGTCTCTAAGTCTCTAGACCTATCCGCCATTGGCTTTTAAGAGGCCCACCAAACGGAGAATCCCACGCCCACGCGATGAGAACCCCCCGTCCCCTGGTCTCAATTCTGAGAATGGGTGTGTCTGCGGTGTTGAACTGAGTCTGCACTCCTGCAGCAGCCGCGGGGACGGCGCTGAAACGTGGGAGACGGGGTGGGTTGGGGGTGGCGTCGTCGCAACATGTTTGGATGGGCGCTTTTTAAGCCGACAGCGGAACGTCAGGGCTCGAGTAGAGATCGGCTGCAGAATCGGCCTGCGCCAAGATCTATTTGCCTAGTAGAAAAAAACGAAAAAGTTGCCGAGTACTCGTAAATCTAACATCCTGCACGTTTCATAGACTCGGTGAACGAGATCAAGTTTCGGGTACATCGACTCCGTATTCGACCTCCTACTCTCATCGGCAAAAAAACATATCTGTACCCGCGGCCTCGCGGGCGGGGCCCTTGGGCCGCAAACCCGCGGACACGGGGCGTTTTCTCGCGGATGCCCCGCGCGGAACGTATCCGTGCGACCGCGTGTCCGCGGGATCGCGCCCTGGAGTGCAGACCGCAAGCGCGCGGATACGGATATGTGCGCCGCTCGTGGTACTCGGCGGCGGGCGAGGGGGGGAAGTGAGAAGCAGAAGGCCTTCTCAGAAGGCTCGGAAGTCACCCGGCCTTCTGAGCAGCTTCCTGAGCCTTCCCCGAAGGCACAGACAACAGGTCAGAGGGCGCGAAGGCTTCTGAGAGGCCCCGCCGCCTGCTGAGGAGGGCCTCCTCGCTCCCCCCCCCCTCGCTCGCCGCCGGGTGATGCTCGAAGGGCCCCCAGCTCGACGCGCAACCGCTCCCCGTCGAAGGCCGCCGCGGAGGCGGCCCCCGCGGCGGGCGCCCGGGCGGGCCGCGCGGCGGCCCGGGCGGGGGTGGCGTTGGCGGTGGCCGCAGGGCTCGCCGCGGTGTTCCTCACGAGGGTCTCGGGGGGGGGGGGCGTCAGCGCTGCACCTCGAGCGACGAAGATCGAAGAAGTCGAAGGCGAAGAAGACGGCATCAGCTTAAACATCTCGGCGCCGCGCGGATCTCTTGGATCGGCGCTGGGGCCCCCCTTGCGGCGCCTCCGGCGCCGCCCCTGGCGCGCTCCGCGCGGCAGGGAGGGGGGTCCAGCGCAGATCCGGGGAATCCGCGCAGAATACTGAAAGTTTATGGTTTTGCCGTTTTCTGTTCCTCTAGGAAAGAAGGGAGTCTGAAGCGAGATGCTGTAGCGACCAGACGCCGAGGCTTACGCGGGCCGCCGGCGCGGCACGCCACACTGGAGACGAGGGCGCTTACGCGCGACCTTACGCGGGCAGCTCACGCGCGAATGTCGGCGCAGACGACTCCTTCTTTGGCTTCGCTTTTTTGTCATCTTGAATGGTTGGCGCAGACGTAATGGAGTTCGCCCAGGATTGATATTCTTATCATCGGATCTGGAAGAAGTGATCAGAAGGATCGTTGGGCTACGGAAAGACTAGGTATTTGTTCGTAGAGTCGACGAAAAAAACGTTTTTTGGGGCGCAAGAATTATGTAATCGATTTGGGGCGCAAGAATTCTGTAGTCGATGTCCTAGTTGAGCACTTGAGCCAGTGCGATCGGAGTGGGTACGGGAAGAACGGCCACGAAGACAGACAGCAGTTTTTTGGGGCGATTCTGGGCAGGACTCGCTGTCGGTGTCGCCGCGGTGATTGCCCATTTGAGACTGCAGGTCGCCTGCCTGATAGCGGCCGCTGTCGGCTTGTTGGGCATCTTATTTCTTTATTGTAAAAATTCGGGCGCCCAAGCCCTCCATTCGAGCGGCGGAAGAACTTTGAGTTGATGGCGCGGAGTCTCGCGCGTAGGGTGCCCACGTGCCCTGCATGAGATCCTGGCGTTGCACTGGCTGCACACCGGGCGACTTCGTCCGTTTCCGGGGCCCTGGACCATCACACATCGACCCGGTCCCTTTAGTTGGTGGGCGTTTGCGGTTGGGGGGAGAACAAAAAAAAACACATCGACCCGGCCCGAGCATGACCCAGAAAGATGGAGTCTAGGGCTCCAGTCTTGAGTTGTCGCGACGTTGCAGTGTTCGCAACGTCAGACCTCAGCCTTCCACCTGTGAGGATTCATCTCCTGGGAGGTGAAGTTCAGCATCGACGCTGGCACGTTCGTGGTCGAAAGCCGGCCGAATGTGGCCGAGTCCCGCTCCATCCGGCTTCATCTTGCTTAATCCGGCCTACTTCTGCTGAGTCTGGCTTGGTATCGGTTTTTCTTTGGCCTCTTCAGTCGGGCTCAGTAGCCCTTGATCGTTCTCACGAACTGCGCGGATGTTTGCGCACACCCAGACCCCCCTTTTGGTGATGAACAACTCACG